ATCTCCCCAAAACCCCAAAACCCCAAAACCCCGAAGTACTCTTAAGATATTGATGTAAAGTGAATCATAATTATATTATTTTGGGATAGCTCTAACCATACTCTCTTGTTTGGATAGCATATTGCTTTTCTGGTTTTCAATGCCAATTCCTTCCGCAGATTGCTCATTTATACCCATAGAATCACTTTCTTGGGAGTTTTCGCTTCGAGCAGAGTCATCATCGCTGTCATCAGAGTTATTGTTGCTTGATGAGTCGGGAGAGTTATCTGACTCTTCTTGTTTATATTCGCCTCCCCAGACATCATCAATAGTTTCTCTGTTCTCGTAGACCTCTATTGATCTTTTGTTAGGTCTCTTCTCATCTTTGTTAATATAAATTCCGATAAGCTTATTGTAAAAGTCATCATCAAGGTAAAACACACTATCCCGATCTTTCTGAAGATCTTCAATGTCTTGCTCTAGCTTATCGAATAGTTGGCTGTCCAGCATATTTCCATGGGTATCTTGTCTTTTAGCAGAGTTATTTAACTTTGAGTTCTTTCGTTCAATTGAGTTCGTAGCCTTGGGGGCTGAGAAGCAGCAAGGGAAGAAGCCTACCTTAGACTTCTTCACGAAAGAGGCCATCATCCATGCCCTTCCTACCTGGAACATGTTCTTAGTACAGTCATTCTGATCCAGAACTTGCTCTCTTTTTATTAGTATCTGAGTTCCGTACTTTGATTTGTAATCTTGCATAAAAACTTTGTCTTTGGTGACCTGGATCTCACCATGAAATCTTGAAACTGAAATATCTTCGATGTGGAATTCAACATCGTGACTTCGACCAACTCGGTAGTTACGGATTAATGGGATTCTAAGGATGTAGACTGATTTAGAAGTAGCTTTGTCTGATCCTTCTTTTAAAAATGTTTCAAAAGCCATGTATTCACCATCTGGCAACTTGTAATCAAGAAGGCTTTCAGTCTTCCCTCCAAATCAGACTTTGAAAGGATACGGGCTTTTGCATAACTCACAATTTAGAGTCTTCCATGTATACATTTCTGAGTATTGGCTGAAGACTTTGTGATTTCGGCCAGACTCCATCCAAGCTTTTAATCAATCAAGATGAAGCAATCCTTGCGTACCTTTGCAGTTTCATGGATTTATCAGAGGATTATTCTTGTCATCCATCACATTGCTCAAACAGAATCTTCATGGTGGGATTTCTTCAGATTGATCGCTCATTGCAATGCTGACATCTTTCAAGTCAACCGGTCCATCCTCATAGCTAAGAGAAGGAACTTTTGGCAAGTCTACCGGCTCTTTGCTTTTGATTTGCTCATTTTGATCTTGCAATCTCATTGACATGAGCCTCATCTTCAGCCTTCCCATTTTGATTATATTTCCATTGTTTATTTCGACTCCTTGGGAAACTAGTTTAGAGCCTTTATGGGCTTTTCTCCAATCAAGTGTCTTGGCTACTCTCCAAAGATCTTTCGAGAATGGCTCAGCTCCTAGAAATGCCAACACTTCCTTGGCTTCACCAGCCTTAAAATAACCTGCGAAAAGGCTACAAAGTTGGCTGTCGATTTCAGTGAGGGGAGTATCGTCCTCGAAATAGTCAAGAATAACCTGTAGCTGGTTGTAGCTATAAATATGCAGCTTATTTTCACTATAAAGCAAGCAAAATAGGAAGGTTCAGGCTTCTTGGCTGTTACGTTTCTTATATTGTTTAGCGTGATCATCTTTGTATTTATTTCGCATCAACAAAAGTGCTGAGATGCACCACGGTATTCTCGACTCTCAGGAATATTTGTGAAGATAGTGTTGTCTTTATATTTCATAAGCAGAAGTCCTTGTTCTGGTAGTCGAACAATCCATGAGAGATTTTAGGCCAAGAGAAGATTTCAAATTTCATTAGTTGGTGTTTTGACATTTTAAATACAATAATTTTATTAAGGCAATAAGAACGTTTGTTATGGGGTTTTGGGGTTTTGGGGTTTTGGGGTTTTGGGGTTTTGGGGTTTTGGGGTTTTGGGG